ATCTATCTATCTATCTATCTATCTATCTATCTATCTATCTATCTATCGGTTTTTCGAGACAGGATTTCTCTGTGTAGCCCTGGCTGTCCTGGAACTCACTCTGTAGACCAGGCTGGCCTCAAACTCAGAAATCCGCCTGCCTCTGCCTCCCAAGTGCTGGGATTAAAGGCGTGCGCCACCACTCCCCAGCTACTATAGCTATTCTGTTACCTAGGTAGAAGTGGAGTGGGAGGGTTGAACTGTTGTTTCCTGCACACAGGGAATGCAGTTTTGTTGCATAGGGTGTAGACCTTCAGTACTGACTTGGTTCTTACTTATTCTGCATATTGGGGCTTTGATGTGTATGAAGTCATTTTCTTCATGCCTAGGGAAGTTTAGTTTTGTTTCTCCCCTTCAGTGTTAGATTAAACTCACATCCTCATACATGCTAAGGTTGCTTTCTACCTGAGCTATACCTTCAACTGGAGAATAGAGTTTTCTTAAAATATTTTCAAGGGAAAACTGTGTCTCACTCTTCTGTGCATAAGGGACTCGCTAACCACACTCATATACACAACTAAGATCAGCTTTTGTCTTCAGAATGCACAGTCTGCCAGGATAAGCATTTATGGAGTTAACTGATACAGAGTTGGATGCTCATTGTTCTAGAGGAGGTAAAGCTAACACTGTGGCTTTGGAGATATTCCTGTGTAACAGGTGAATACTTGCATAAGAGTTTTCGCTGGACTTGGGTAAAGATTGTTAGGTAAAAGTTAATGTGTTTTAGAAGTTAGGTTATGGGGCAGAGAGTGAATACATAGGTGGAGGAAGGCTTAGAAATAAGAAATGACAGATTAAGGGAAAATTAATGAGTGCAACACCCATAGTGATTGGCATATTGTAGGTACTCATCAAATTTGGCCTTTTCTTACAAAAAGAAAAACAAGAAAAATGTTTGTACAATTATTTATCTGTGTGGTTGCTTGCATGCTACAACATGTATGGCGCTCAGTGGACAGCTTGGAGGAGTCAGTTTTCTCTCTTGCTACCATGTGGGTTTTGGGGATCAAACTAGGTCATCAGGCTTGGTGGCAGGTGCCTTTACCCACTGAGCCATCTCACCAGCCCCAAACTGGCTTCTTTCTAATTCCAAAAACTAAAGCAGTCTCCCAGGCAATTAATTTTTAGGTGGGCATCGGATCCTCATTACAGATGTTTGCTGGGAATTGAACTCAGGACCTCTGGAAGAGCAGTCAGTGCTCTTAACCGCTGAGCCATCTCTCCAGCCCGTGTTTTGACTTTTGGGTTTCACTATGTAGCCCTTGCTGATCTGGAAATTATTATGTAGACCAGGCTGGTCTTGAACTCAGAGATCCGTCTGTCTCTGCTTACTAAGTGCTGGGATTAAAAACATGCAGTTGCCATGCCAGCCCCTGGATGATTTTCTAAATTTGAAATGTAAAAACCAAGTACTGTGTAGGAATCAATACCTAATATTGATGTGCAGCCAATTTTTTTGTAATCATTTCTTTCCTCAGAGTAGAGTATCAGACTCCTGGAAAAAGCAGCTTGTTCTTCTTCTACACTGAGTAGGGGCAATGTCACAAGTCCAGACAACTTACTCTTTTGATGCCCCCACCGACTTTATCAATTTTTCATCTTTGGATGCTGAAGAAGATACTGAAAATGTAGACTCATGGTTTGGTAAGTGACACTTTTTCTTTTGCTTGTTTTTGCTTTTGTTTTGTTTTCAAGACCTGATTTCACTGTGTATGTACCTCTGGCCATCCTGGAACTTGCTCTTTAGACCAGTCTGGCTTTGAGTTCAGAGATCCCCTGCTTATGCCTCCCGAGTACAGGCATTAAGGATGTGCAACACCAAGCTGCTGTTTCCCTGCCATTTTAAGGGTAGTGTCCTGCTTGCTGAGGACATTTCAAGAGCATAAAGGCTGGAGAGATGGCTCTGCAGCAGGAGCACTGGTTGCTCTTCCCACACTCACTGTGGCAGCTTTCAGGTGTCTATGGCTCCAGTCTGAGAGGGTTCAGTGCCTTCTTCCACAGCACCAAGCATGCGTGTGGTGGTGCACAGATGTATGTGTGGGCAAGACACCCATACACATAAAAATAAATTGATAGAATAAAGAAATTGAAAAGCGAGGCTGCAAAAAAGTAAGTAGATTGTACATTCTCCCATGATTCAATAGGAAAAACAATTTATGTTTGAACTACAGAAGTCTCTGTTCATGTGTGAAATTGGGTTTTTTTGAGACAAGGTTTTAGACTGTAGCCCAGACTGGCCTAGCACTCTGGGCAATCTTCCTGCCTCAGCCTCTGAAACGCTGGTATTAGAGGTGGAAACCACCATGCCAAGCTTCTCTCTCTCTATTTCTTTTTTGTTTTTTCGGGTCAGGGTTTCTCTGTGTAGCCCTGGCTGTCCTGGAACTCACTCTGCACATCAGGCTGGCTTCTGCCTCCCGAGGTCTGGGATTAAAGGCATGTGCCACCACTGCCCTGATACTTTTTTCTTTCTTTTTTTTTTTTTTTATAAAATGGAAACATCATCTTTCCTAATAATTTCTGATTATAATACATTTCCACAGAAGCAGAAAATAAAAGTTAATTCCAAAAACTATGGTATACTTCCTGAATTTTCCTGTCGTGTTTGTTGAGAGGGCCATGGGTCTCTTTTCTAATTCCGACTTTGGTGTCTGCACTGCTGAAGCAGACACCTGGCCTGCCCGCCCACCGCCCTCCTCCATCCTAGTTCCTTCCTTCAGTTTTTTTTTTTTTTAAATTAAAAAAAATTTTTATGAGGTTTTTCACCCTATACCCTAATATGGACTTAAACTTGCTGTATATCCCAGAATGTCCTAGAACTAAAAATCTTCTATCCTCCAGCTCCCCAAAGCTTGGATTATTGATGCATAGCAAGACACCCAGGTTATAGGTGTTTTACTTTTTTGGGAGGGAGGTTCAATTTTCAAAAAACTTACAGATGAACTTAGAGCTTAGAAATATCAGGAAAATACAAAAAAAAATGTCATAATATATACATGTACATAATCTTTTATTTAGAATAATAAAACATTTACAAATGTATTATAAATTACAAGAATTTATTAAAACATACACACTGCATATGGCATTACATAGAAAGGTTTATAAGCATTGTTAAAAGCAGTATGAAATCATAAAGCATAAAATTAGCTGTAGTACAACGTATGGTGCTGTAAGAATTGTGCAGCTTTCTTCTGCTATAGGGAGCCAGAAGTTCTACTTGGGTTTTTGACTGTGTGAGAGTCAATACTATAACCCTTGAGCTCAAGTGTCAGCTGATGTTGAAACTTTTAGGAATGAACTATAAATAGAAATTAATAGTATTTTACAATTAAGAATGGCAAATACTCAGGCTGTAGGTACATAAGGGCCATCCAGATGAAAAAGAGTTTCAAGCATGTCTGTCATGGTGCTGATCACATAAGTGTGTGTTTGTGTGTGTGTATTTTGTCAATCACCTATGTAGGCTATGTAGGCTCATGAAGCTTGCATCTCAGTCAAGATATTGAATGACTGAAATCACAAGGGTCCCATGTTGCCCTTGTATTCTATTCTACTTTTACATACTTGCTTACCTTTGAGATGAGTCTTGCTGTGTCTGTTTCTGAGGCTCTTTAAGCTTCATCTCCTGACTAGATCGTGCCTGGCTTGCTGTTGACATCTCTCCAGCCTCAAGCTGTTTAACTGTTGGAGACAGTCAAATCTGGCCTTAAGCTCTCCAGCCTCCAACCTTTACCTCCCCCATGCTGGAAATTGAGTCTCAGTTCATTTTTTAATTTAATTCTTTTTTTTTGAGCAGGGTTTCATGTATCTCAGGTTGGCCTTGAACTCACTATGTATCTGAGGATAGTTTAAAACTTCATCCTATTTTAATCCTCGTAGTGCTGAGGTTACTGAAGTACACTACCACTCCAAGTTATGCAGTGCTTAGGGCTGCATTAAATACTTGTGCATGGTAGGCAAACACTCCACCAACATGACTATGCCTTTTTAAAAAGTTTAATTATGTATATGCATGGGTATCTGTTTTGAGTATGTCTGCTTGTGAGTTTATTTGCCTGTAAAGACAAGAAGTATTGTATCATTTGGAACTTGATATGCTTTTGACAACTGTACTGGCTGGTTTTGTGTCAACTTGACACAAGGTGGAGTTATCACAGAGAAAGGAGCCTCAGTTGAGAAAATGCCTCCATGAGATCCAGCTGTAAGGCATTTTCTCAGTTAGTGATCAAGGTGGGAGGGCTTGTGGGTGGTGCCATCCCTGGGCTGGTAGTCCTGGCTTCTATAAAAAACCAAGCTGAGCAAGCCAAGGGAAGCAAGCCAGTAAGAAACATCCTTCCATGGGCTCTGCATCAGCTCCTGCTTCCTGACCTGCTTGAGTCTCAGTCCTGACTTCCTTTGGTGATGAACAGCAGTGTAGAAATGTAAGCTGCTTCTTGATCTTGATGTTTTGTCCAGGAATACAAACCCTGACTAAGACAACAACCAAGGTCATGTCTTCTGAAGAGTATTACACACTCCTTACTTCTGAAGAGTAACCACCACTCCAGCCTTCCCAAAATAATTTTTAAATAGAGACATTATGGTATTAACAACCCAACCCACAAACAGATAAGTCTGATTTGAGTTCTGTGATGTGTGGTACAAACCTAATAAAACCAAACACTCCCCCCAAAAAAAATATTTTGTAAACATTTAAAATTGTATTTATATGTACGTCTCTGTGTGTGAATGAGTACAGTACTCATGAAGGCCAGGTGAGCGGCCTGAGGTCCTAGAGTCTAATTCACAGGTACTTGTGGGCTGCCTGACGTGGGTGCTATGAGCTGAACTTGGGTTCTCTGTAAGAGCAGCAAGCGCTCTTAACCATTGAGCCATCTTGCCAGTTCTCAGCTTGTAGGTGTTATTTTGATATAAACTGGACTTTTGATATAAAAGTCCAGTTGTTGATGAAGCCTCTTCATTTAGTCCTTTCTCTTGTCTCCCTCTTCCTCATTAAGAGGCATTAATGTCAGTATGTGTTAGGAACAAAAATAACTATTGTAGCTGCACTTAGCACTTACAATACAGAGTCCAAACAAGATGGTGTCTGCTATTCTCTAGGGAAGGAATTCAATGGTTCTGGAAGTACAGGGCCCTTTTGAAGGAAGGACAGTTAAGAGGGCCTACTGCCCCATAGCACTTCAACTCAGATAGCATCCAGACTGCCTGAAGATTTCTTTTTACAAGTTTTCTCTATGCTCCAAATATCCACAGAAAGGAGATATTTGCATAGCAATTGTAATGAAGTTAAATACAAGGTCTGGAAGAAAAAAAATAATTCTGTACTTATTTTAAAAACCATCTTAGCTGTAGTATATTTCTTCTTTTCTTTCAGCTTGTCACGTCTTTTCACTTGGATATAATCAGAGTGTCCATGCATGGTGTAGTTATTCAGGGGCTTGCTGCGCTCCTGCAGCCTGGCACAGCATCCTATTGCTGGGACAGATTGTTTTTTTGCCAGTTTTAGTCACAGCAGAGCCCAAGATAAAACTTCAGAAAACATTGTTCTGCTCCACTCTCACACACCCCACACTCTGGAATATAAACTGTCCCTTGTAATCTTACAGTTCTGGTGGCCAAAGTTTCTTCAAGGGCACCGGGATGTATTTGAATGGTAGATAAGGCTAGATAATATTGTTTGCCCCTAACTGTATCTTAACAAAGGTAGCAGTCACACAGCACAGAATCTGCAGCTTTCCTTCTCTGGGTGTTGCAAATGCTTTGGGGATAGAATTGTTTGCTAACAGTGCTGGAAATAGACTTTCCTCCCCATTTTAAAGCCTGACTCTTCTCTGATTTGCTTCCTTACTGATTATTTCCCAGATGAGAAGGCCAATTTGGAGAACAAGTTTCTTTGGCAGAGTGGAATAGGAGAACCTTTTCAGGGGAAGACTTTGAGAAAAGCCAAACTTCAACAAGGCTGTGTCACACCCTTGAAGGCAGGTAAGGAAAAATGGCTTAGACAGGAGCCTTGAGGGCAGCGGGCGGTGACTAGAGCTGTGGACCTGAGGGAGTCACCAGAGACTAGACTTTTGGTTGGTTAGTGAAGCGTGTGAATTCAGTTCATGGTGTATGTACTCAGGGTCTGTGCGGAGCTCAGGCTGCCCTCAGACTTCTTGCCACTACCTCTCACATGCTGAGACTGTAGGCACCACCCAACCTAACCATACTTTCCTTTTTAATATGCCTTTAGGATTCATTTGCTAATTTTTCCAGTGCTGGGGATTAAAGCTAGGAGTTCATGCATGCTTAACAAGTGCTCTACCAGAGTTCATGAATAGTGTTACTTTATAGTTTTCTTTTCTGGTGATCCACCTCCCCACCCCCCTACCCCTCACTGGCGTTTGTTTTTCTTTTTACTTTTTGCTATGCTGGTGGTTGAATGTAGGGCTTTCAGCACAGCAGCCAATGCTTTCCTACTTGATAGCACTCCAGTTTCCTTTCTTTTTTTTTTTTATGTTTTGAGACAGGGTTTCTCTGTGTAATTCTTGCTGTTCTGGAACTAGCTCTGTAGATCAGTCTGGCCTCGACCTCACCTGCCTCTGCCTGGGTAGAGTGCTGAATTAAAGATATGTACCACCACATCCAGACTAAAAAGCATTTTTATATATCCCAGGTTGGCCCTTTTAGGTCAATATAGCTGAACGAAAATGTGTTTTTTTTTTAGTTGATGCCTGATTGTATGTTTAGAAGGTATAGTGTGATAATGCCCATTTATGTGATAATAAGCACATAACTTTTATTTTTTAAGAATTGTTATTTATTTTATATATATGAATGTAGCTGTCTTCAGACACTCCAGAAGAGGGCATCAGATCATATTGCAGGTGGTTGTGAGCCACCATGTGGTTACTGGGAATTGAACTCAGAACCTTTGGAAGAGCAGTCAGTGCTCTTAACCACTGAGCCGTCTCTCCAGCCCCGCACATAGCTTTTATAAATAGGCCTTCGGTATAACTTTACCTGCGTTAAGGTTACCATGCATAGGAATGATAATATTTGAATGTGTGTGATACATATGGTCTTCATTCTGAATTCTGTAGTCACATACGCACGCTATGCACACCTGCTTACATATACATATATGTCTATAATTTCTGACTTTCTTGAGATTTAAATACTGATCAATTTTATTCCTCATTTGGGGGGCTATTAATTTAATTAAAAATATTATTGTGGTGCTAGAGAGATGGCCTAGTGGTTAAGAGCACTGGCTGCTCTTCCAGAAGACCTGGAGTTCAATTCCTAACATCCACATGGCAGCTCACAACTGTCTTTAACTCCACTTCCAAGTAATCTGACACCTTCTCACATAGACATACATGCAATCAGAACACCAATGTACATATAATAAAAAGTAAGTTTTAAAATATATTTATTGCTTGAATTTGTATGTACATACTTTATTTTAAAAATTAGATTTATTTTTTAATGTCTGAATTTTTTGCCTGCATGTATGTATATACACCTGTGGAATTCAGAAGAGGGCATCAGAATGTCTAGATCTAGAGTTATAGATGACTGTGAACCACAGTGTGGGTGCCAGGAATTGAACTCAGATCCTCCCAAAGAACAACCAACCTGCCTAACCACTGAGCCATCTCTTCAGCCCCATATGTGATTTAATCAAATCTATCTCCTATCCTCTCCCTTCTAACTTCTCTATCCCTCCCATCATTATTGCAATTGTGTTTGTGTGTGTGTGTGTGTGTGTGTTTTACTCTGGTTTTTCAAGACAGGGTTTCTCTGTGTAGCCCTGGAAGTTCAGGAACTCCCTTTGTAGACCAGGTTAGCCTTGAACTCAGAAATCCACCTGCCTCTGCCTCTCAAGTGCTGGGATTAAAGGCATCCGTGTAGGACCATCTACTGGACCATCTCTGACGAAAACTGACTTTTACTCTCCCAGCAGCCATTGGTTCCTCAGTCAGGGGAGATACTTCATGACCCAGTTTTTGGTCCATGTTGGGATTTCGTCTGGCTTGATCTTTGTCTCAGCCTGGTGTATAAAGTCCTAGCTATTAGAAGTTCAAGTGTGTAACTGCTCTGTCATATCTGCATAAATGCTGGTTCTCTATAGTCTTTTTCACTACCTCTGGCTCTCTACCTCCTTGTTCTGTGATGATCCCTGAGCCTTAGAGAAAGTGGCGTAATGCCCTGTTTAGGTCTGAACAATCTATAATCTCTTATGCTCCACACAGTGACCAGTTTTGACTCCATGTTAATTGTCGTCTACTGCAAAAACCAGCTCACTGAGTTTTCGGTGAGGCAGTAACCTGCGGATGTAAAGATCAATGGAGGACAATTGAATCTGATGCCCATGTAGCCCATTAGATCATTTAGTAAGTAGTATAGTAGTAGGTTATCCCAAGGACTCATGGCCTCCCTAGCCACAAGTTCTTGAACCTACTAATGGTGCCAGGTGTGATTTCCGTGTTCTGGGTGGACTTTAAATCCAATCAGAAAGTGGCTGGTTAGTCTCAGAACATTTCTGTCACTATTGAATGGTGTGCATATCTTGCCAGGACAATTATTACTGTAGCTGACAGGGTTCACTTCTCAAAGACTATTGATTAGTTCTCCAATAGTATACAAACACTTTCAGCACTCTGAAATCCAGCTATAGGACTGCGGCTTCTAGGTTGATGACAACTTGATTTTCTCCATGTTCTATGACTCAAGTGTGTGGTGTCTTAGTGTCAAGTTCTGGAAGGAGGCCAAGAACAATGGTGATAGCCTGGACTATGGTGTGGGCCATCTCTGTGGGGAAGTCACTGACAAAAACCTGAAAAGAAGTAATGTGTGTGGCTCTGCGCTGTTAACTTGATAGCCTGTGGTGTCAGAGAGGCATTGCCCCTCTTACAGAGTAACTCCATTTAAACTTCCCAATTTTTAAAGTTTTATTTTATGTCTGTGGGTGTTTTGCATATATGTCTGCACATCTTGCTTCCAAAGGCCAGAAGAAGATGTGAGATTCCTTGGAACTGAAGTTACAGACAGTTGTGAGCCATTATGTGGATGCTGGGAATATAAACTCTGGTCCTCTGGAAGAGATCTCTGTGGAGCTATCTCAACAGTTAAATAACTACCATTGAAACTTTCTTTGTTGATATTTTTTGAGACAGGGTTTCACTGTGTAGCTCTGGCTGTACTGGAATTCAGTGAGGCATTTGTATTCATGGCCTTGAACTCACAGAGATCCTCCTGCCTCTGCTTCCCAAGTGCCGGGATTAATGGTTGGCACCACCACTGCTTAGCTAAACTTTTAATAAGTGTCTATTTTAGGATACTTCTGCAGCATTCTGACTAGGTTTTTGATCTCTCGTAGTTGACAACACTTATTACAAAGAGATAGAAAAGGAAAATCTTCAGAAACAATCTGTCCCATCAAATGATTGTCCTTCTCTGAATGCAAAGAGAGCCATATCAGGAAATACTCCTGTCCAGCCTCAGAGGTAAGAGTGGGCACAAAGTGGCTATTATTGGTTCTGCTCACTCAGTGTAGTAACTCCACAGGTCATCTGTGTCAATACAGTTGGGTTCCTGATGTTCCTTCAGTGCTTATGCTTGCACTTAATTTATAGGTAAGTGTTTATAGACACTTAGTTGCTTGGTCAAGGCACATTCATTTCAAAGACAGGGTTCAAACTTATTAGTCTGATTTTAAAAGCTGTATACGGATAAAATTGTTTTTCTGATGTCAATTCTCTATCTCTTTTTAAATTTTCATTTTTATTTTATGTGTATGGGTATTTTGCTTGCATTTATTTATGTGTGTTACGTGTATTCCCGGTGCCTGTGGAGGTCAGAAGGGTGTCTGACCTGAAACTGGAGTTGCAGATGTGAGGCTCATGGATGCTGGCGTCGAGCCACTGAGTCATCGCTCCAGCCCGCACATGCCTTTCTTTGTTTCTTAGTATTGCAGAAGCTTTCTTATGGTTGTTTGTATATATCTTCTATTTTACTTTTATTCTATTTTCATCTTTTATTTTTCATGCTTCATATTTTGTGGTGCAAGAGTTTAAACTAATCTCAGGTGTGCTAAGCAAAGCACACATTCTACTATGGAATTATATACCAGCTCTTATTTAAAATTCTAAAATTACATGTATATGTATTTTTATTTGTGTGTATGACATTGTTGGAGAAGTATGGGTACAGGTACTGGAAAGAGCGGGGAGGGGAGGGAGGAGTGCATTGTAAATGGAAACAGAGTCCATGATGCTGCCCAGGATTCAGACTCCAGAGACTAGCATCAGAGAGCAGATCTAACTTTATCATTTATTACACAAGCTTATAGTTAGCTTTTTAGCCAATTAGAGTATGTTTATCTATTCAAGGGCAAATTGGGGTGTAACAGGTATTGTTTAGCAGGATCTGACTCATATGTCTAGGAACCTGTCCACGGGCCTGTAGGGGAGGGTCCAATCCCCTCTGGAGATTATGAAGACAAGGGAAGCAACTACTGTCCTGGCCTCGGCTCTTATGTGTAGTCTCACCGGTATGCCAGGAGCCAGGAGCTGTGTCAGTTCATACACTGTGCAGTGGGTCAGGACTCCTCAGGAGTGGCAGGAGCCTGTGGTACCTCGCTCTCCCTCCCACTTACTTCCTCTACCAGGGTTATCTCCACAACCCCCACGGAAGAGTCAGATCTCTCCTTTTACCCTGTGGTTCCTGGGGACAGAAATCAGGAACCACATATGTCAGGCCTGGACATAGCTTTTCTGTCTCCTGAGTCATCTGATCCCTAGCCCCATCCTTATCTTCCATGTCAATGGACAGCTTTTAAAGTAACCAAACAATCACAGAAAGTTTAGTTTTGTACATGGTGCTTGTGGGATCTTGGTTTAAAAAAAACAGAAAAACAAAAAACCAAAACTGGTCTGATTAGGTTTTGCTTTAGTTGAAATGTTGACTATATATTACTATAACTACTAATTCGGTTAGATCTGTCACTGCTTTGTTTCCTGGTCATGTGTCTTGTTTTTATTGTATTTCCCCTTTTCTGTGTTTATATTTTATTTAATCTTAACCCTCCCACTTTCTCTGAGTTCTTCCCCATCTCCCCTGGGGACGTAAACCCAGCTCTTTGCTCCCTGCCCTAGGCCAGTCTTCTACACTGATCTATATCCCAGTACTCTTTTTTTTTTGTTTTGATTTGTTTTTTGAGACAAGGTTTCTCTGTGTAGTCCTGGCTGTCCTGGAACTCACTCTGTAGACCAGGCTGGCCTCGAACTCAGAAATCCGCCTGCCTCTGCCTCCCAAGTGCTGGGTTTAAAGAAGTGCGCCACCACCACCCGGCTCCCAGTACTCTTTAAGATATTTTTCATATTTTATTTTAACTGTTATAAATTTGAGACAAGTTCTCACTGCGTAGCTATGACTGACCTGGAACTCAATGTATAGACTAGGCTAACCTCAAACCCTGCCCCCTTTACATCTCTTTTCTTGTTTTGTTTGTTTGTTTGTTTGTTTGTTTGTTTTTTGAGACAGTGTTTCTCTGTGTATCCCTGGCTGTCCTGGAACTCACTCTGTAGACCAGGCTGGCCTCGAACTCAGAAATCCGCCTGCCTCTGCCTCCCAAGTGCTGGGATTAAAGGTGTGTGCCACCACTGCCTGGCTGCTTGTTTGTTTTGTGAGACAGGGTTTCTTTGTGTAGACATGGTTTTCTTGGAACTCAGTCTCTAGATCTGGCTGGCCTTGACTGCTAGGATTAAAGGCATGTACCATCTCACACCAGGGTTCGTTTGATTTCCTAAGTGCTGAGATTATAATAGAATGACCCTATTTAGTCTGTTTGGTTGGTGTTTTAAAAAATCTAACTTAATAAACCACCAGCATATTTAAATAGCAGGATTTTTAGGGATGGAAACAATAAGTTTTCAGAAACATTAGATTACTAGAGAATGGATAATAAAGGTTTTATTGGCCTTTTAGTTGACATACTTTGACCTTTTGAATAACATTTGCATATCTGTAGTAATTGCATTCATCATAAGATAAATTGTGTCATTTTTACCGTAGAAGATCTGTTAGACTCTCTGCTCAGAAGGATTTGGAGCAGAAAGAAAAAAACCATGTTGCCTCTGTTGAAATGAAAGCCAAGAGATGCACTGCTCCTGCTGCTGACTATCCCCCCAACAAAAGAATGAAAGTGTGAGTACCTGAGACTTCTAACTGTCGTGGTGAGATCCCCATGTCTGGGCACTGAATTGAGAGTTGTGAGTTACAAAGTAAAATTAACAACGGGTCCATCTGCTTGGTGTTCCTATAGACTGGGAGACTCTAAAGCTATGCCATCGTCAGGGGAGCTGTTACCTGTGTCCCTTCTAGAAGGTTTATCTTCAGTGTTCTTCTGTGGCAGGGACTGACCAGAATATATGGTGTTCATGCTTAGTAGCAGTATTTGTATTACCGGGAATGTGTTTCACTGCATGAATACTCCAAAAGTGTCTGAATAATTTATGTACTTCACAGAAGTCAAAACTAGATTGCTACTGGCTTTGGTCAGTTATTGTCTATTGCTTCTTAGTTTTTTCATTTTGTTTGAGCTTCATTATCAAAAGGTAACTGCTATATCTTTAGACATATCCATGTTCAAGAGAGTGTTTTGTAAAGGAAGTCGTCTGGCATTCACTCAGGAAAGTGAGGCCTTCCTCAGAGATGACATCTATCTTAGTTCTTAGTTCTTCAGATTGTCCCTTGGATCTCCCAGTTGCCGCAGAGGCAAGAACAACCTTAGTTTTGGCGGGCTTATAGCTGCTGCTCTGGAATTTCCTAAGACACAGATTGTCAGGGTCAGGGACCTTGTCCACTGGCTTCTGTTTGTTGACTTGATGACATAGAATCCTTGTACCTAAAACACTGCTGGCTGCCTCACCTCACCTCTTTCTCTGAGAGGGCTTTCTCTGTTAGAACTCTTGCTGATGATGTGATTGAAGAGCCTGTGGTTCAGTCATGTTGCTAGTCCCCAAATGAGGGTGCGCTTTAGGAAATTTAAATTTATTTATTTAGTTTTTGTTCATTTTTAATCAAGTTCTCATAAAAAGAAACCGAAGGAAGAGGAGGAAGGCAGTGTTTCAGCTACTTCAAGAAAGGATGAAAGAGAAACCCTGGAGAAAGCTAAGGGCAAACACACTGTGCCTGGTGTGCCACCTGCAAGGTATGTTTCTTTCCAGAGCAAACTTTAGAGGAAGAACAGTAATTGGCACACCTGCCATTTGGGAAACTCTTGAAAGCTGTCTGTGACCTGAAGAGCACTGAGATGGTCAGCAGCATAGATGCTGGGTAAGACGTGCACGGGACCAGATCAGTGCACCGCCTCACTACCTCAGTAACTGTATGTGATTTTAGTTGGTAATCAACTTTGGGATTTAGTTTTATTCCCTTGCCAAGAGATCATTTCAATTTTTTCTGGAAAATCTGTTTATGCTTTAATGGATAATGGTTGTATGAGTGTTAATATTTATTGCCAATTTTATGCTGAAATTAAAAATCAAAATATTTGCAGTGCCATCACCTTTTTGTTGTTTTTGTAGCATAGGCTGACCTTGCAATAGCCAAGGATAGCCTTGAACTTCTGTTCTTTTTGCCTCTACCTCCCCAATACTGGGAGTGTGGCATTGCAGCACCACAGCTGGTGTGTGTCACATTGGAGATTAAACTTTGAATATGGTTTTGTGAGAGTAAAGGTTGCTTAATATAATAACGTTTACCTGTCCTGACTCTAAGTTATTCTGAGGCCAGAAGCTGCAGGCCTCTGGCAGTTAACACTCAATTATTAAACAGTAGTGGTCGTAGGGTGGGGTTAGGTTAAATAAGACTCCTTTCTCTCTTGCTCAGAAACCTCACCTCTCACTGGTGAGGTGAGAGGGAGGCTTGGACCAATTAACCTTTATTGAACCAGAAAAACCAAGTCATGCTTGCAGTAAGAAATACAAATATACGTAGACATGTAGACGATCATACACACGTTTACATTTTCATTCACAGTCCCACACATTAACACATTCATCTTCTTCTTGGGCCTATCCGTGCATACTTACATACACATGCGTATGCTTACACACACACACACACACACACACACACACACACACACACACATATATACACACACACACATATGTGTATATATACACACAAACACACACACATACACACACACACACACACACACACACATATGGTGGATGGAGCAGAAGGCCAAGCCCAGTGCAGAAAGCACTCGTTCATTCTGGATGAAAGTATTGCATAGAGAAAGAAAACGCTTCTTACCTTTTATTGCTAAATGAAAGAAACCCAAGTGTATAAGAAAAGCGCCCCATCCTTGTCAGTAAGAAGAAGCCTGCCTGCTCTTTCTGCTCTCTGTTCAGCTTCTCTCTCTTCTTACCTCTCTCTTCTCTGCTCTGTTCTAACAATGTCATCATTCCAAGTTTTGTCCTGTCTTTAGGAGGATAGATCACATGGTATTCCAAGCATCTTTTTTCAAAAGTTCACAAGTTCAAACATAAATTCAAATCATGAATTGAATAAGGAGTTACAACAGAGATGTTTACATGTGTTTCCATTTAGACTAGTTATCTAACTAAGCAGTCATTGTCTGTCACGAGCTCCACAGGTTCATAAAAGTTAAAAACTAGGGGCTGGAAAGATGGCTCAGCAGTTAAGAGCACTGACTGCTCTTGCAGAGGTCCTGAGTTCAATTCCAAGCAACCACATGGTAGCTCACAACTACCTAATGGGATCCGATGCCTTCTTCTAGGGTGTCTGAGAACAGGGACAGTATACTCACATACATAAAATAAATATATCTTACAAAAATTAGTTAAAACTATAATTCTTATGTCTAAGTTAACACAGTATGTCAAGAAGGAAATCATCAAAAAAAAAGGAAATCATCTGTCTAGTGTCTCATTAGTAGTGAAGTTTTGTGTAGCTAAACCCAGGCAATAGTTTATCTTCTGTTATTGTACCTATAATAATACATTGTTCATTTGCAGTTTATAGTCTTTAATTATCAGCTAATAGTTTAACAAGGAGCCTGAGAGGAATGTTTTCCTTAATCATAAATCTGTTTCATGCCTGCTTTCTATCTTAGTGCAATTAACTCGTGACACATGAAGGCTTGCAGGGCCCTGATTGAAGCCCATTTTATAAAGGAGCCAAAAATTACTAGTATAAATTTAGGATTTTTTTTCTTTTTTTTTTTTTTTTTTGATTTTTCGAGACAGGGTTTCTCTGTGTAGCCCTGGCTGTCCTGGAACTCACTCTGTAGACCAGGCTGGCCTCGAACTCAGAAATCCACCTGCCTCTGCCTCCCAAGTGCTGGGATTAAAGGTGTGTGCCACCACCGCCCGGCAAATTTAGGAATTTTATAGAATAATTATTAGGAATTAAGAAGTCATCTAGTTGTCTACATAACATCACTACAGCACATCTTCATGGATCTGCAGGAAATCTGCTTAATAGGGTGGGCTAATGCCCAGGGATTATTAATTTAATAATGACAGGAAAGGCATATCAGTTGCAAGAATCAATCCTGAGATGAGATTTCTGAAAGCCTTGCAATTAAGAATTATCCATTGCAGACCATGATGTGTCAGCTCTAGAATGTCACTTGTATGCCTTTATCCCTTCCTAGATGGCTCCTGACAATTGATGGGCCTGGAACTAGCTAGATAACCCAGAGTGGCCTCTGATTCACAGTCTTCTGACATTAGCCTCTCAAGTGCTGCAATTCTAAATGTGGCTTTTCTAGTTTTTTAATTTAGCTTTTCCTGTGGCATAAAAGTTGGTCACTGGTGTGGTCAAATATGTGAGTCTTTTGTGGTGTCTTACTATCTTTTGTAGTTAGTTTTAGCAATTGTTCTCTGAAAAATTTTATAATATCTTAGTGTAATATATCCTTTCTTTTCATGTTACCTAATTAAGCCAATATCTGTTTCTGGTGAATAAACTTTTTGGCTTGATATCATAGGTTATAACGTAGTCTTCTCAGCAGCTTAGAGTCCTTTGAATTATGGAACCCTTTCTTCTTTTCATTTTTCCTTACTGATTCTTGTTTCTAGGGAGAAGGTTCTAAAGAGTACTGAAGAGCAGGAGATAGAGAAAAGGCTGAGAATGCAGCAGGAAGTGGTGGAGATGCGGAGGAAGAATGAAGAGTTCAAGAAGCTCGCTCTCGCAGGGCTAGGTCAGCTGGGCCTCACTGAGGCCTCACTATGAGGATGCTTCTTTGAATTTTGGTAGCATTTTTTTGAGGTCTCTACAGCAAGAACAAAATAAAAAAAATAATCAGTTTGAGTATTCAGCATAAGTCAATGTGCTTACTTAAAATGGTGACTGTAAGTTCATCTGTACCCTCTAGACCTCGGACTACTCAAATTAGCACTTTTTCAGAGTATGCTGTTCTTCTCTGGTGTGTTAGCAAAAGGATTGAGACAGATGACAATCAGTCTGGCCAGTTTGTCATTTCCTTCTTCATACTAATGACAGGATAAGACAGAGGTCTGTCAAATCCAGCTGCATTTAGAGGGAAAAACATAACTGAAGAGCTCATAGACCTGCTTTGATCTAGCACCGTGATATTGGTGGCACCATTGCTGCTCACTGGATGGAAAAGTACCTTGGCATTTATAGGCTCCCCTCTTAGAGATTCTGAGTTAAATTTTGCTTTTATAGTCACTCTCTAGGGGTTGGATTTTCAGTGGTATAGAGTGTTTGATTAGACTTTGTAACGCCCTGGGTTCCATCTCCAACACTATTTTTAAAAAGGTGTGAGGTCATGACTTTATCAAAACCATGACTACATCCTAGCAGTGGGCTCCTCCTCTCCTTACCTAGTTTGCATCTGAACAAAGGCCTTCAAACCCAATAAAAGTCATACATAAACCTAGAGCCGCAATAACAGAATACAGAAAGGATTAGAGTTACAACTTAAGACTTATTAATGACCTCTCTTCTTTTTTCTTAATGTTAACTGTGTGTTTTCCTCTGTTCCTCAGGGCAACCTGTGAAGAAATCTACAAGTCAAGTTACCAAAACAGTTGACTTCCACTTCCTCACAGATGAGCGAGTCAAACAGCATCCCAAGAACCAGGAAGAGTATAAGGAAGTGAACTTCATATCTGAACTTCGGAAGCATCCTTCCACTCCTGTGAGCATTCTTAGTACTAATCCAGTAGGACTCAACTTGTAACGTCTTTGATCATTATTTACGATTGGATGATTGAGGGAAGCTTACTCTTGAGTCAGTATAGATAAAAATTCCCTGTGAACTCTGGCTGTCAACAGATCACTCCTCAAGGAAAGCATGTTACCAAGTTGGTGTAAAAATTAAGATGGGACACGAAGCACATAAAATTATGTGTGGCAAATTTGTAGAGGCCTTCTCCCACCCCTCAGGCGCAGATGTAGACTCAGGTGTGGACAGTATGAACTCATCTCAAAGGCATGCACCACCATCTGGCTTTATTATTATTATTATTTTTGTAATGTTAAAGAGTAGTAGGTACTCTGTTTAAGTGTAAAGCCATCTCTCCAGCCTCCTTTGTTTTTTGTTTTTAAGACGGGGTCCCAGTTAGTCTAGGCTTGCCTCTAACTAGCTGTACAGCTGAGGATGACCTTGAACTCCTGAACCTTCTGCCTTTACCTCCCTATACTGGGTGGTGTGGGTGTGCATCACCAGTGCTGACTTCAGCACTGTTTTATTTTTCTTGTACTATTTATGTTTATACCTGTGTGTGTTGTGAGTATGTGCCATGTCGGTGTGGGTGATAGTGGAGGCTGGAAGGAGGAGTGGGATCCCGTCCCAACAAGTGGAGTTAGAGGGTTTGAGTTGAAGTGTGCCTGGTCTATATAGTGAGTTCCAGGCGAGCCAGGGCTACGCAGACAGACCCGTCTAAAAAACTCACCAAAAATAGATAAAAAATTAATGCTGGGCAGTGGTGGCTCATGCCTTTAATCCCAGCACTTGGGAGGCAGAGGCAGGCAGATATCCGAGTTCGAGTCCAGCGTGGTCTACAGAGTGAGTTCCAGGACAGCCCGGGCTATAAAGAGAAACCCTGTCTTAAAAAACCAAAAAAAAAAAAAAAAAAAATTGATGCGCAGTGTGGTGGGCTTGCTACAGTCAATTTGAAGGCAGATGTGGAAGGATGCTGAGTTAGGCTTCCGTCTGACCTGATGCAGGCCCAGCAGCCCATGCCAGTTTTGTGTGTTTGGTTTTTTTTTCCTTTCCCATTCCAGTTGAATTTTAAGAACAATTGCTCTAGATTGGTTCAAAACATTTATATACTTGGGAAAACTGCATGTATACTACTGCAAAGCAATTTTCTAAGTACCAGATTTTTCAGAAGAAGGAAAATGATAAAGGTCTGGTAAACTAATGTAAGGACGGTGGCTGAGCACCTGTGCTGAGTATGGGCTCACAGGAGGTCTCACTTCATTTGCTGATCAACTTTTCTCTTCACAGACCCGAGGAACCAGAGGATGTACTATCATTAAGCCTTTCAATCTGTCCAAAGGAAAGAAAAGAACATTTGATGAAGCAGCTTCTACATATGTGCCTATTGCACAGCAGGTTGAAGCGTTCCACAAACGAACCCCTAATAGATACCATCTGAGGAACAAGAAGGACGAAAGTAAGTTTCCTCTCCATACCTTACTGGCCAGAGCCTCTTCTCCAGTCGCTGGCACAGCAGGGATGATTGTTTAAAGGCAGAGTAGGGGGCTGGAGAGATGGCTCAGCAGTTAAGAGCACTGAATGCTCTTCCAGAGGTTCTGAGTTTAATTCCCAGCAACTACATGGTTGGCTCACAACCACCTGTAATGGGATCCAATGCTCTCTTCTGGTGTGTCTGAAGACAACTACAGTGTAACTCACATACATAAAATAAATAATTCTTCAAATGCAGAGTAGGAGTGTGAGGTGAACAGGTGCAGGTGCTGATAAATTTATATAGATTTGTAGTGAACAGATGAAAGGATTTGAATTGTTTCTGCCTTTATGAAAGTAATTTCTATAAGAAGATTAAGAAAGCCTAAAGATGGAAAATAATGTAAAATAAGTTATCAGAAAAATATGACAAAGCTGGGTGGGTGATTCATTCTCTAATCCCAGCATTTGGGAGGTAGGGGCTCATGTCCAGCTTTGTCTAAATAGTGACTTCCAGGGTGCCTGGGCTGCACAGGACTTGTCGCCAAACAAAAACAAATATGGCTAGTATTTTGAGTAAAACAGGATGTGTTTTGTGATATCTACACATCGTTTGTTTCCTATTGTTTAGCACTTTGTCTTAGGTGGTCACATGAGTTGCTTTAAATGTAATATTTCTCTTTTCTTTTGGCAGTGCTGGAGATTCAGCCTAAGACCTTGTGCATGCTAGCAAGCACTTTCCCAAAGTGCTACATTCTCAACCCTAAATACAGTGTTTCCCGGTATTGTTAATATAGTCTAATATTTTATAATATAAGAAGTGAATTTTTTTTTATCCTCATAGAATTGTTTCCACCTAGCCAAGGCTTCATAGACTCTTTTTCAATAGAGAAGCCAGTAAATGAATTAGATAATTAATTTTTCTCAGTGTTATGTAAGGTCTAGATAGGAGAATTCCTTCTAGGTAATTATGAAAATCTATAGACTTGTTACTGACCAGGGAAACCAGTACCTTTTGTAAGTGTTCATAATGCTATAAATCAGTGGTTCTCAACCAATGAGTTGGGGCCATCAGAAAACACAGATATTTACATTACAATTCATAACAATAGCAAAATTATAGTTATGAGGTAGCAACAAAAGTAATTTTATGGTTGGGGTCACAATGACAGGAGGAACTGTATTAGAAGGTTACAGCATTAAGGTTGGGAACTGTAGCAGGATTTTTATTCTGCTACATTGTATTCACAGTGGAGCTCGGTGATGGGGAAGTAGAAGGGGAGGTGGAGCAAGAAACGTTTGAGAGAGGGAAGAGAGGGAGGAGGATGACTGGAGAGGAGGAGGAGGAGGGGAGAAAGAGGAAGAGGAGGAGAAGAAGGAGGCTATCAACCATGGAGGAAGATGGATGGGTCAAAGCAGTCCTGGGTAGCAACTTCTATCAAAAGCTTAGCTTTGGGTAACAATTTCAATTGTGTGGGCATCTTGTTATTTGAGCATTTCCAAATATATAAATCTATTGGATCATCTTTAAGCATTAAGAGTCTTCATTCTGTGAGGTACTGTGAGGATGGCAGATACTATCTGGGGTTCAGCAGAGCTTTGTGGATACAGTGTGGTGGATTGGCAGAGCCATCCCCCACATTAGTGTCTTGTGGGTCTAGCTGTGGCACTCATGGCTTCTGGCCACTTGCAGTGTGGAACATTGTGGCCAGAGCTAAGCAGAGCTGCCCCACCGATTAGATAGCCAGCCGAGCAGCGGCATTTTCTAAATATAACCCGATACAGGGAACCACGGCTCTAAATAATGCTGTGTTGGCAGAGTTGTTCTCCCCCTCTTTGCCTCTAACTCTGTAACTTTCCCCAATTGACTATCTGAATAACCCACTTTCCTCCCGTTTGGTGTAGCTATCTCGTGAGGTTGGTTTGAAAGTTGAAATGTAGTAGCCATAAACTATTGATCCTTCTGCCCCAGCTTCCTAAATGCCAGGATTACAGGTATGTACCGCCATGCCTGACTTCACCATTTGACTTGCTATGTGTAGTGGCCTGGACATGGATACAGATGCTGATACAGATGTTTTTGTGAAATTCATTACTCACTGGTTTTCAAAGTTCTGGTGTCTTAAAATTGTAAGAAAAACATTGTCAACACAAGCAAAATAGTTGGTGTTTTCCATAGAAAGCCCTATGTCTCCCCCCCCCCCCCAAAAAAAAAAAGCCGGGCTGTGGTGGCGCACGCCTTTAATCCCAGCAGAGGCAGGCAGATTTCTGAGTTTGAGGCCAGCCTGGTCTACAGAATAAGTTCCAGGACAGCCAGGGCTACATAGAGAAACCCTTTCTTGAAAAACCAAAAAAAAAAGAAAAAAGAAAAAAAGAAAGAAAGGCCTATGTAGTGGCATGGACCCCATCAGACATGGTTGGATTTTAAGTGCGGAGATGGCATAAAAATTCACCCAGATGCTATCCTTAAATAAGGATGATAGGAGGAAGGGAGGGAACATTTGTCAGGTTGAGTGGCATAAGCGGAGTTGAGCATAGAAAAACAGGTTGTCTGGTTTGTCTGTTTCTATCCAGTTGGGTTAACACTTAGAGGTTACCTAGATCATGGGAAGCTAAGCAGGTGTCTGTGATTTTTTTTTTTTTTTTTTTACAGGCTTGTTACCCTCCAAACCTGTGAACAAGATTGCACGAGACCCCCAGACCCCCATACTGCAGACCAAATATCGGGCAAGGGTTGTGACCTGCAAAAGTGCTGCTGAGCAGGAGGCTGAGGAGCTTGAGAAGCTGCAACAGTAGGTCCCACTGGCAGTGTCTGAGGAAGGCTGGCAGCATGGCCTGCTTGCTTTCAGTCCTATGGGGTGGTGGTGGTTGTTTTCCTTTTCATGAAAATGCAAGCCATTTAGTGGCTCTGTTGGCTGTGTTCCTGTCTCCGTGACCGAGAGTGGGACTCTGTAGGTGCCCTGGAGCAGAATCTGGTAAATATCCAAATGAGTGGTGGGGGCAGAGCTCACCTTTGGAGTCTAGTTAAGGATAAGGCTAGTGTAGGTAGACCTCATCTCTTGACCGTCGGAGGATCTGCAGCTTTACTCTTGAAAGAACCTGGAACTTAGTGTAGTCAGCGTTGAAACGTGTCTCCCTAGACTTTCCCAGGGCTCTGCAGTATTGAGGGTGGACCCAGGGTCTCTGCATGTCAGGCAAACAATGCTGTTGAGCTAAACTGCAGTCCTTTTTAGTTACTAAAGCTGAAGTTTTCCAGTAGAGTCTCACTAAGTTGATTGGGCTGGCTGTGTTGTTCAGGTATGTCTTGATTAACCTAATCTCTTGCCTCTGCCTCAGTTGCTGGGATTATAGACCATGTCGCCAGTCTTGGCCTCATCTGTTGGCTCTTTTGTTGGTTGATTTTGTTTTGTCTTTGAAGACAAAGTTTCATGTATCTCTAGCTGGCTTCAAAGTTGCTATTAGCCAAAGATGACTTTGATATATTTTTTAAATTTTATTTTATTTGTGGGAGTTTTGCTTGCATGTAATGTCTGTGTACCACTGGCATGCTTGGTGCCTATGGAGGCCAGAGAGGACTTTGGAGCCTCTGGAACTGGAGTTACAGACAGATGGTTGTTAGCTGTCATGTGGGTGCTGGGAATTTTTTGGGAGTAGCAGCCAGTGCTTTTAACCCCTGAGCCATCTTTCCAGTCCCTTCCTCCCCCACTCCACCAAAGTGTGGGAACTTGAATTTCTGGTTCTCTGTCTCAAGTGTTAGAATTATAGGTGCTTGTACTCGTAGAGCCCTGAGCCCCAGCAGGACTTCAGGTTATATCATTTACTCTTTTCTCAGGAGGTGAGAATATGGCTACGGAGAGGAGAGATTGTGTGTCCATGGTAGATCATCTTAGTGCTTATTTATAGGTTTTGTTCTACTTTGTGTAGTTTTTATTTAATTTAAAAAGCCTTTTGTGGTTATTACCTAAATTTCCTTGTTACAGATACAAATTCAAAGCACGGGAACTTGATCCCAGAATTTTTGAAGGTGGCCCCATCTTGCCCAAGAAACCGCCAGTTAAGCCTCCTACTCAGCCTGTTGGCTTTGATCTGGAAATTGAGAAACGAATTCATGAGCGAGAGTCAAAGAAAAAAACAGAAGATGAACAATTTGAATTTCATTCCAGACCTTGCCCGACTAAGATCTTGGAAGATGTTGTGGTAAGAATACTTGAGGGGTTGGAGCTGGCAGAGGTGACGTGCCTATGACTGAATATTACCCAGCAATGTTTAAGTTGATCCTATGAGCCGGACACCAGCATATCACTGGAGATGACAAAGAGATGCAGCAGAATTGATCTTGGTCTTAGGACTTCCAGTCTAGTGAGAGAGGCAACATGAGGTTAAGTATTAGACGGACTGGAACTGTGCTCCGCAGAGATGGAGCTGTAGAAGAGGAAGCTTTGAGCACCTAGTGGAGGAGGCAGCCTTTGAGCATGTGCAGTAGAGCTGACTTCCTGGTGCTGTCATTGTGTTGCTGTGATGGCTGGCACTTGTCCCTCTTTCCTGTTCAGTCACCTCTCAGTTTCTGCAAGATTGGTTTCAGAACCTTGCATAGATAACCAAGATCTCTACATGCTCAAGTCTCATAAAATATAAACTAGCACACCATACACTATTTAAATAGTTAAGTTTTCCTTTGAGATGGGGTCTTGCTTTGTTTCTCAGGCTTGTCTTAAATGTCTAGACTGCAGAGCCGTACTTACATCCATATCCTAGTAGTCGTGACTGCAGATTGATGCCACTGTACCTGGCTTACGACTTGTCATCTTTCCCTTTGCTTGTTTCAGAGTCATCCATGAGTGAAGCTGTAATATATTAACTCATGGTATACTTTCAGAACTGTGTGTGTGTGTGTGTGTGTGTGTGTGAGAGAGAGAGAGAGAGAGAGAGACAGAGAGACAGAGACAGAGACAGAGAGATAGGGAGACAGAAAGAGAAAGAAAGAAAGAGAAGATTTAGTTCTCTCCTTCTACCATGGGTTATGGGATCAAATACAAGTCAAGCTTGTTCAGCAAATGGCCCTCTCATCTGGATTTTATCTTCCTGGCCTGGTTTTTAGTATTTTATGTAGTTTGTTCTGGGATGTCTAATTGAGTTGTATACTTCTTATAGGGTGTTCCTGAAAAGAAGGTAATTCCAGCCACTGTTCCTAAGTCACCAGTTTTTGCATTGAAGAACAGGATCCGAGTGCCCATCAAAGAAGAGGAGGTGATTTCCTGGGAAGAGGGAGTCTTCTTTTCCTTTTTCATGACCAGTCTGAGTCTTTATCATTCTTTATACTTAATGTGGCCCAAAGGCAATCAGCTCTTGTCTGGAATTGTCTGTAAGAATGATATGAATGTTTGACCATCTATCTGTTTTGTTCCTCTGAGAGCCCTGAAGCTGGCTAAGGTGTGACTCAACTTTCAGTGATAATGGGATAGAGTCTGCAGAAGCAATTACATTGTATTGTCCTTGGTACCTCAGGGTCACAAAGGTGACTGAGGGTGATGAGCTATGGGACTGTAAAATGTGAATTGTCATCATTGATCATGCTAGCTTCTTATTACACTCCTATTTTATCTATAAATATCCAGACTTGGGGTAATTTTATAGCAGATCTCAGCATAAACTTTTTATAGGATCAGCTGAAACTAAAATACTTGGTAATCTTATGTTACTAGCTTGAACCCAAACAACTTACTTGGTCCTACTCTGGATTTGACAACCATTAATATCTGTCACATGTTTTAGTGGAGTCTGAGTCAGAGACTGAGGTGTAAGTGTGCTTACTCAGAACCTTTCTTCAAGTCTTCTTTTTACATGTCTGATGTCATTTAGTTATTCCAACATTCCTGTGAGGAACTTGAGATTCTTAGAGTTACTGTGTTAGTCGTTTACCCAATACTCTTACATTGTTTTGGCCCATGATGTGGTCGCTGAATGGGTATTGTCTATCTTTGAAAGTGAAGCCATCCGGTGCTAAGTGATGTGCACTATCAGTGGCTCACACTGTATGGTGCTTTCCGAGCCCTCGTTCTGAGCTGGGTGAGCAGGGAAGGATGAGGAGTCTGTTTCTTTTTTTTTTTTTTTTTTTTTTTTTTTTTTTTTTTTTTTTTTTTTTTGAGACAGGGTTTCTCTGTGCAGCCCTGGCTGTCCTGGAACTCACTCTGTAGACCAGTCCGGCCTCGAACTCAGAAATTCACCTGCCTCTGCCTCCCAAGTGCTGGGATTAAAGGCGTGCGCCACCACTGCCCGGCGAGGAGTCTGTTTCTAAGCTGTGCTTTCTCTTCTAGGAAGAGGAAAAACCAGCAGTGATCAAAGCCCAACCTGTGCCACATTATGGCGTGCCTTATAAGCCCCACATCCCAGAGGCAAGAAGTGTGGAGCTGTGCCCTTTCTCCTTTGATACCCGGGACAAAGAACGCCAGTTGCAGAAGGAGAAAAAAATAAAAGAAATGCAGAAAGGGGAGGTAGGTGTTTCATTTCTGTAATTTGTAGAATACTGGTCTTTGATCCCTCAAAGGGAACCCTTCCCCACTTTGTTTGTTTGGTTGATTTGAGCAGCTGGTTTTGCTGTGTAGATCAGACTGGCTTTGAATCTGTGGTTGTCCCCCTCCCTCTGCCTTCCGAGTGCTGGGGTTATAAGCAGGACAGGGTGTCTTGTCCTCCCCACTGATGAAAGCTCCTTATGCTGCTCTTATGTTTTTTTCTTTATCATTAGGTGCCCAAGTTCAAGGCACTTCCTGTGCCCCATTTTGACACTGTTAACCTGCCAGAGAGAAAGGTAAAGAATGTGACTCAGGCTGAGCCTTTCTCCCTGGAGACAGACAAGAGAGGCGCCTACAAGGCCGAGATATGGAAGCACCAGGTAGGAGTGGGGCACAGCTGAAATGTTGGATGTTGGTTGGTTGATGGGTGAGTAAGTGGGTGAGCAAGCCCGTAGGTCGCAGACCTATAGATTGGACCGGTAGATTCACTATACAGAAATCATCTGGGGTGTCAGATTTGGTTATTTTAATATATTCTATGTAAGCCAGGAGTCATATCAAGTTCTGTAAAAGGCCAGACAATATTTATTTTAGGTTTTATAGGCTACATCTGACTTTTGTCAGGTATTTTCTCCCTGCCTCCCCTTACCCCTGTATGTATATTTGATCCTTGGAACATGTAAAGACTATTCTTAGTTCGAGTTGCGTTTGGCCAGCAGGCTGAAGTTTGCTCGTCTCCTTTAGTCATCTCCTGGGGAATGTGAGACTCCTTCTCAGTCAGGAGTTTCTGTAAGATCTCATCTGTTAGTGCTTTTGGTAAGAAATTGGTTGGGAGAATTGGTTCTTAATAAAACAGGCTGTTTTTTTCAACATAGTATATATAATAGCTTTTTATTTATCATTACAGATAATAAAAGACAAGTGATTAGTTATAGACTGATGTAATTAGCATATAATTTTGCCGCTATCCCTGTTCCCTGTCTCACCTAAAAACAAACACTAACCAGGGTTTAATCGAGCCTCTGGGTCTAGTTACTCACTTAAAAGACATAAAGGGATAGAAGTAAAAGGATATCTTTTTAGTCACAAAGTTCAGAACCTCCAGGATGTGTGTTACTGTTGCAGTAGTCAGGCACCATTGTATGCCATGTCTGACAGGCTTTCCTTCCAACAGCTGGAGGAAGAACAGAAGCAGCAGAGGGAAGCAGCTTGCTTCAAGGCTCGTCCAAACACCGTCATCTTTCAAGAGCCCTTTGTTCCCAAGAAAGAGAAAAAATCAGTTGCTGGTATTATTATTATTGATGTACTCTTTTGGGAGTTGACACAAAATGTCAAACTTTTCAGGGGGCATGCTAGGACTCAGTTGTATCAGAATAATGCTATGTCAACAAGAACTGCTTTGTCTGAAGGGATGGTAGCTTTGTTCCCTTAGAGCCAGCCTTTGGCTTGTGTTGGAGCCAGTGGCTCCCTGTGAGTATTGTCAAGTATGTTGGGGCAGACTGACAGAACAGGAGTCTTGGCAGACACAGCTGTCCTTTCGGTGACAGTCACAGGCTGTCCACACCCAAGAATGGAGCAAGTGGATGAAGGAAGGGTGTTGGGATTTCTTTCTGTACACAAAGATTGGTTTCTTAGGCATTGGACGACAAGGCAGGAAGTTGGGATTCTTTTACTTCTGTCCTACAATAGCTGTGTAGGAGAGCAGCATGCAGGGCTGAACAGGCAACCTCCCCTCAGCATCCTCAGCCATAGAGTGTAGCTTCACTCGATGGTTCCCTTTCATCCTGTCCTAGTCCTGGGTGGAGACTAGGTCCATGAATGCTGCTTGTGTATTTTTTTTCAATATTGTCTTTGTTTCTGTACTTAGAGAACCCTTCTGGTTCTCTAGTTCAGGAACCTTTTCAGCTGGCTACAGAGAAGAGAGCCAAAGAGCGGCAGGAGCTGGAGAAGAAAATGGCTGAAATGGAGGCCTGGAAACTGCAGCAGTTGGAGGAAATCAGGCAGCAGGAAGAGGAGCAGCAGAAGGAGGAAATAGCCAGGCTCCGGAAAGAACTGGTAATCTACTGGGTGGTATAGGCACTCACAAGCCCTAGTTTGTCTCTGTTGTTCTGTTTTCTGGTGGAGCCAGGACAGACTAGTCAGCATCCACACTGACAGCGAGTGCAAACAAGCAAACAGTACAGTCTTTCCTGGGCCATCTTGAAAATCAGCCACTACTTCTTTGCACTTATTTTCCCCCTAGGTACCTGCCTGTTGAGTTCGTTCCCAGTATACATTTTTTTCTTCAGCAATTCTCAGTGTAGGCCGGTGGCAACACCCTATTACTGAGTACTGCTTATCACTGTATTATGTTGGCTCACTCCAGGGTTGATCTGGCACTCCTCACAAGGATGGGCGGCACCCTGCCTCCCCAGCTGCGCTGCCCTTCTTGATTATTTCTCTTCTGCTGTTTGTTCTTGTTTGTTACTTTGTTGAATATTAAGAGTCAATCAAATAAGCTTAAAATTTCACTCTGGCAATTTGTCCCCCCTGGAGACAGGATTTCTCTATGTAGCCTTGACTGCCCTGGAACTGACTCTGTAGACCATGTTGGCCTCAAACTCAGAGATCTGAGTGCTGGGATTGAAGGTGTGCACACCACTGCCCAGCAAGTCTAGCAGTTTTTTTTAACTTAATGTATTTATTTTATGTTTGTGAGTACCCTGCAGCTATCTTCAGAGACCAGAAGAGGGCATCAGATCCCATTACAAATGGTTGTGAGCACCATGTGGTTGCTGGGAATTGAACTCAGGACCTCTGGAAGACAGTGCTCTTAACTGCTGAGCTATCTTTCTGGCCTCCTTATTTATTATTTTATGCATATGAGTGTTTTTGCTAGCATGTAGCTCAGTGCCCTCAGAGGTCAGAAGAGAGTGTCAGATGCCTGGAGCTGGAGTTACATAGTTGTGAACAGCCATGTGGATGCTGGGAATTGAACATGGATCCCCTGGAAGAGCAATCAGTGCCCCTAACCACTGAGCCATCTCTCCAGCTCCTGTCACAAATGTTTAACTTGTAGCTTTTGTCTGCTATTCAAAGTCTGTGAGTGTGTGTGTGTGCGTGTGTGCGCGCATGTGTGTGTGTGAGACACCTTGAATTGGGATCTGTAAACCTATCTCACCATTCTCCCCTAACTGACGGAACAACTGCACATAGTTGTGTGGTGTCCATCTCAGTAACCCTGTTTCCTTACTCTGCAGGTGCACAAGGCTAATCCAATACGCAAGTACTCTACAGTGGAGGTGAAATCCAGTGAGCTGCCTCTGACTGTGCCGGTGTCTCCTAAATTCTCCACTCGGTTCCAGTAGAAGCTGCATCACTTCACAGGCATGGAGGACATGTCTTCAGACTCACCCACTATGTGTGGAAACATACCTGACAACTATGGAAGCCAGGTGTTTTGAAGATCACTTTACACAGAAACTCTGAAGCTAATGAGATACCACTCATTTAGACTTTAATCAGACTTCTTGTAGTTATTTCCTTCAGACGTTAGTTGGCCCTTTCCTGTTGGTCTTAACTCTGGCTAGAATTTCATGTATTCGTTTTGGCATAGTCTACTTTTTACCTGATCTCCCCCTACTACCCCTTTATATATGTATTTTAAGCATACAATAAAGGCAATTAAGTCCTGGGCTATGGTTTCAGTCACAGTCTAAGTGAGTAGCCAGACTGTTGGAATGTTCAGAATGAACTTATGTTCTGTTCAGAATGAGCTTATGAAGGAGCCCTTTGCTGTGACGTGGGCATGGCACCAAGAAGACTGTGTCAACTCCAGGAGACCATACAAAGCTCTGTTGAAGCAGTTCTCTATTGTTGGTGCTGACAATGAATGACAGCCTACAGTTTCCAACCTGACTTGGATGACATTGTTTTAAGGTCACAAGGATTTATTTTGGCTTGCTGTTTTCTGCAATGCAGCCCATCCTGGAGGGGATGGGGAGGGATACGGTTCAGTGTGTGTGGCAGAAAGCACAACTCAGGCTGGAAGTTAAGATTGGTTTGACACCTTCAAAGGCCAGTCCCAGTTGGCTTACTTATCCCAGCTGGGCCTCGCAGGCCAAAGTTCTACAACCTCCCAAGCAGTGCCAGGCTATGAACCAAGAAACATACCAGCCTGTGGTGGGCGTTTTATACTGAAAGGATAGCCTTTCACCTGTGGGTGCTATAGGCTCATGGTATTTCAAAATAAGAAGTATCTGTAGTCTTTTTCTTTTTGAGGTTTATTTTATTTGTTTGGTGTTTTGAGACATGGTTTCTCTGTAGCTCTTGCTGTCCTAGAACTTGATTCTAGACCTAGGACAGGACTGGCCTTGAATGATTTTTGTTTTTTTACCTGCATGTATGCACATGGAATTCTTGCCTGTGCTGTGCCCTTGGATGTCTGTGGAGTGTGTCAGATGCCCTGGGATTGGAATTACTGAAGGCTGTGTTGGGAAACCCTGCTGCTAACCCTTCTGACATTACCAGAAAGCCCTGACTGAGCTTGGTGCAAAATGATGGGCTCCCTTTTATTATATATAAGCCTTTGTAAATTCAGTAGGGGTGACGAAGCCAGACATTGTTTCTTATAGTAAGTTTGATGTGTGACCTTGGTTCTCCTGGAGGCCCACAAAGCAGTCCAAAGAGCACTTCCCCTACCTGTAAACTTTAGATATTTGCATACAGTGTCATAATCTGTCATCTGTTTATTTCACAAAAACACAGTGCTGCACACATGTTCTACCCTCTGCAGAGCCAGTGAAACAAAAGCAACAGAAAACACTTGTTTGTACTTTAGGCAGGGGGACAGACAATGGACGCATGCCTGTTGCAGTTGTCAATTAACACTGCTTAAATAACCCAGCTACAGCAGCTCATGTTCCTCACTGCCCACCACAGTGTTCTGGGTTCCCGAATGGAAGACAGACAGACAGACACACACACACACACACACACACACACACACACACACACACTCAACAACTATTTTAATATGTCTTAAACAGCTCAATGGCTGGACCACTCCCAAACCTCCACACAGCTAACGTGCTTTCCCCTCTGATATTCCCCATCCATCATCACTGAAATCTATATTCCATCTTGGCTGCCCTAGACCCAGTCATGGGGCCCCCTGGGGCTGCTCTTTCCCCGCTCTTACTTGTTGGTAGCACTTCTCAGGCCTAGTCTTTCACCTTTCCCCATGCCTGAGAATCCTAAAAAGTCCCACCTCTTTTTTCTCCCTGCTCAGCCATTGGCCACTGGGACCTTTATTTACCAATCAAAACCAACTGGGGCAGGACCCTCAGCGTCTTACATGCAGATTCTTGTGCAGTTGGGAACCAGCTAACATAATACAAGTGTTGGACGAAATTCACCACGCATGCCTGTACTTCCTGTCACATTTCTGATGAGGCTGTGGTCCTGGGGGTTCTGAAGAGGAGCTGTCCAGGAAGGGACTGACTGTAGCTTGGCTTGAGTTTGTCAAAGAGATAGTAAGCACAGCTGGATTCTTAGTGCTTTTGTTTTAGTGTTCAGTGTGGGCCCCTGAGAGAGACCCAAAGATCCCCTGAGCTGGAGTTGCACTTGGGCTTCCGGCATGGGTCTGTTGCCAGATCATGATGTACTTTAACCAGAGCTGTCACTCCAGTGCCGTTGCTCCAGCCCCTCTGAATGTACTTTCTTGCCAAGAGTTTGGACATGGAGAGAAAGCAAAGCAAAATAGTCCTTGGGATTTGGTCGTCCGTTCTTAGCTTTAATTTTTTTCTGGTCACCTGGTGTCTTCCCTCCACTTGTCTTGGTCCCATCTCCAAGCCTGCCTTCCGTGGTTCTTCCCTGCTGTGCCAGCTGCACCACCATTGGTGCTGGCAACACTTAAGCATATCAGACATGTTCCCGTGATCCTGAAAGGAAGGTGGAGAGACCACGGCCATCTTGTCTCCTTATCCCCTCAGGCTGTGTCCTCTTTCCACACTCAGGTAACTTGGACATTTTTCTGAACAAAGAAGATGCGCTGAGATAAAACTTTATACATTTTAAGCTGGGCTTGGTGGTGCACACCTTTAATCCCAGCACTCAGGGACAGAGGCAGGTGGATCACTGACTTTAAGGCCAAAGTGAGATCCGGTTTCAAGAAAATAAACCCACGAACAGATGATGAATGAATCTCTACATTTGAACATTTTATACATGTAACTACTTTCCACAGAATTTTAATTTTTGTAAAAGACATGGTCATTTTAGTTGTTATGTATATGAGTGTAGGTGGCTGTGTAGGCCAAAGGTGTCAGATCCTGTGGAAACTGGAGTTACAGGTGAGTAACGACTCAGGCCCTCTACCAGAGCAGTCTGCACCAGCCCTAGGCTGAGCCCAATCCCCTAGTCCCCGGCTTTTGTCTTTATTTTGATCTTGATGCCTTTTATCTTTCATTAGTTTCCATTAAACCGACATTTCCAATATAAATTTGAAAAGAAAGAGTTTCCTGGATTTTACTAAGAAATCTGGCTAACATTTTGCCAGGCAATTTTGTAAAATCCCCAACATTTGACATGCAGAATGCTGAAATTCCCACAGTTTAGAGCACATGTCAAGATGCTTTTGACTTGTGTGGCTTCCCATGGCCTGTTTGTGTACTAACTCATGTGAGATCGTTGTCAGACTTCTTTGGCCCACGTTTGCCCTTGTGCTGTAGTCGGGCTTCCATGTTGGTTGCTGTTTCATTACTTTTAGGTTCCTTTCATGCAGTTTCTGCCCCTGGGAAGTAGAGCTAAGTGGTTGGCGACTGTGGTTGGTATTACTTTCTATAGCATTTCAGAGAAACCTGAGTACAAACAGTTGTTCAGCAAGATGGGCTTGATTCAACTCACAGCTCAGTACCATGGGGGCACAGCACTTGCTAGACGTGAAGCTGCGGTTTTTTTTTCAACACTGTTTATACAATAAGTACAACAGTAAGTATACTGTACTACTCTTTGTCAACAAAATAACATAGACCATGCAGCTGCCCTTCCTCTGTCTCCTGCTCTTTATTAGTAACCTTTTTTTTTTTTTTTTTTTTTTGGTTTTTTGAGACAGGGTTTCTCTGTGTAGCCCTGGCTGTCCTGGAACTCACTCTGTAGATCAGGCTGGCCTCAAAGATTCACCTGCTTCTGCCCCTTGAGTGCTGGGAATATAGGTGTGGACCACTGCTTCCAGGCTTACTGCATTAATTTTAGAATTTGGGTTTTTGTTTTGTTTTGTTTTTTTACAAAGTTTATACATGGCATGCATCTGGTTCAAAGCTGTGAAGGCAGGAAGATGTCCCACCTGCTCAGTTGTCCTCCCCAGGGATGGCGTCACCAGTTTCTTGTATCCCTACCTCTGCATACACGTTGCCACCTCTGCCTTCATTTTGATATACACAGCACATCCCTCTTGCTCTTTTCAGTGGTTTGTGGCTTTGACTGACAGAACTCCTGGACTACCTTGAGTGTGTCCTGGCTTCCTGAGCATGAGGCCTCATGGGAGTCTAGCAAGGTGGCAGTCCTGAAGCCCAGGGGCAGACCAGCAGCTGGCATTGGAGTGGCTTTGTTGAGGTGTGAGGGGTGCTGCTGTTTAGTAGCTGGAGGGCCTGCTTGAACCTCTGTTTACTGTTAGAGAAATGTGTTTACTTACACAGAGCTCCCTACTAGCACAGCTGGTTTTGACCTCACTGTGTAGCTCAGGCTGCCCTTGAACTCATGCTCCTCCTGCCTTAGCCTCCCAAGTGGGAGGATTCCATGTCTGTACCCCTGACTCGCCTCTAGTATCATTCTTTTTGATTTCGTAGAAGTCTCTGGGGAAGCTTCTCAATGCTGACAGTAGCAGTTAGAAAAGCCTCAAGCCACGTGGCTAGGCTCCGGTTTCTGCAGAGGCCGGGTTTCAGTGTGGTGGTGTGGATCCCCAGGAGCTGGTCAACACTCTGAAGCCTGAGCTGCCATCCGCCCCTCAGCCTGCTGGGATGCTCATTTTAGGCAACATATAAAGTTTCCTGGAGACAGGACAACCCCAGGCCTATGGAAAGAGCAGGAAGGTTAAAGTGTGTGGTGCTTTGAGCAGTGACGAAGGTGTAACCAGGGAGCCGACATGTTTGCTCCAAGGCCAAGAATTCCAGGACAATTTGTTACTAAGTTAAAGCCAACAGTTGCTACAGAAAAGGTGGGCAGAGGCATGGGCCGTGTGCTTCCCCTGCCTTCTGATACACCCACTGTGGTGATGCTGTCAGGGGGAGGGGGGTGATGGTGAGCGTTGCTGACATCCCAGTGGTGTTGATGGATTTTGCTCTTTACTGTCTTGTATGACAGAAGCTGAGCTCAGGCCAAGCCCTGACTTGTGTGTTGTGGTCCTAGGCTCCCTGAAAACAGTGTTCAAATACTGCTGCTCACTCGGAGAATGTGTGGTTACAGAGTCAGACAGACTGGAGGAGATTTAGGTTTATCAGGAAAGATGCCAGCTTACAGACATCAATTGCCTTCCTCTCTTTAGCTGGAAAAAAAAAAACCAAACTGGACAGAGAATGCTTGCCCTTCCTGTCCCAGCACCGTGGGCAAGTGGCTGAACACGCCAAGAACCTTGGCCAAGGGCTGTTGCCCAGCTTGTTCGGGCTTCGACAGTATTCTCAGGTCTTCTTTCAGGAGC